TGGCTTGGCCTCATTTCTGTGTTAGTCTTAGTGAATTAAAGATGGTTTCCTCGGGTAGATTTCATTTAGTGAATGTAATCTCTTGTGAGAGATCTGCTGAGAAGTTGCATCAGGAATTCCTCCCATCTGCATCCAAAAAAGCGCCACGAGGATTCAGCAGGGTTATTTGGGCAATGAAACTGTTGGGATAGGAAGAGGAAATTGGGTGCTCCCCTCCAGGTTACCCCTGAAGCACAGGTAGCCCTCACTTGTCTACAGAACCGCATGTTTCCTTTTCTATCCATCAGAAAGTGACAAGTTACCTCTAAAACGGCAGTTACCCCTGAAGCACAGGTAGCCCTCAGCTGTTGTCTGCAGAGCTGCAGGTTTCCTTTTTTATCTATCAAAAAGTGACAAGTTACCTCTAAAACAGCAAAAATGGCCTGTGGGGAGGAAAGTTTGGGAGGTCCAGCTAAGCCCAACAAGACCCAACGCCTCCCCTTGCCCCCCTGCTTAACCTTTCCAAGCCGGCCCGCCGGAGCCCACGCCGCCTTCCCTGTCGTCACAGGGAGCAGGAACTGCCATCAGGTCACTGGGGCTTTCTGCTCTGCTTGCAGCCGAGCTCTTCAGAAGGCAGATCCCCATTTTTGCAGAAGCTGCAGGCGTGTTGTGCATCCCTGCGGCTCGCTGGTGACATGGGAATTCCCTGAGGTCCCTGAGCAAATAGACACTTTCCACCTAAATGTCTGATCATGCATTAAACATGCTTTTTCCCCTCTTACGCCGCAGGGATATTTGGTTTTTTGATCTCTTTGACCATACCATAGGCTGTTATGGTATTCCATGACCTATAATAATCGAGTAAATGTTTGTTTTGTGTGGTTTGGAAACCGTTTGTAGAGCAGGCCCTGGAAGGTATACAGAGCTCTCAGAGTGAGCTTTAGGGCTACTGCTGAAATAGCTACCTCACGTGGTGTTAAAACTTGCTTGTGGAAATAAAAACCTGGTTATCTTTCCATCAAATTCAGAATAAATTGGCTTTACTGGGATTAAAGTGGAATAGTAAGAGAAAAAACATCTCTTTCCTTCAGGAAAAATAAAAAGTATGGACATTAATCTGGCTCTTATTAAATGTGTTTGTTTTCATGAATCAAAGGTAAGGTAATGAATCACGTCAGCTTATTAATAAGTAAGCGTTTGGACTGATGATTTTTGAGTCTAGGAAAGAATAACAAATGAGATTTTTAATTTTCTGGAGGAGTAAAGAATGTTTGTTTCCCAGAATCCAGCGTGTTCTGTTCTTGAAACATTTGCTCTACTCGTGTTTTTGCCAAGCTTTGCTCTTTAGCTTTACTCATTTCAGAAGCTTTGCAAGAATGAAGCTCCCGCTTTGCTGAAGTTGTTGTTGTCAGTGGGTCCGGCTGGACGTGTGCGAACTCGCTTTTGAGGTGCAGCATTGTTGTTATTTAAACGCTAGATCCTAAACATAAGCCTAGTCCTTTCCCCAAATACGGGGTTTTCTGCAGACAGTTTTGTGCTCTGTGAGGCTCCAGTTTGCCTTGTGATTCTTGCCTGTGTGCTGCAGCAAAACCCCAAATCCCGACCCTGCTTTAGATGAAGAATCTAAAGCTCGCTGCCTTGGCAGAGAGCTGATGGATACAAAAAAAGGCTAATTCTGCTAAGGGTAGGTCTGAGGTTGGTTAGCTTTACTGCCCTGTTCATAGGGGCCAGGCTTGATGCAAGAGACATGAGGGGGAAGCAGCTGGAGGGATGGGTGGCCACTGCCTTTGGGATCAGGTTGTCATTAGGTTCACAGAACGTGCAGAACTGCGCCCTGCTCTCTGTGGGCCTGCTTACGTTAGGATAAGTATTAATTCTTCGGTCGAGTTTATTTCAGCAGTCACAAGTTGGTGTTCCTTAGGACTACTGTGTGTTTCCACAGAGCGCTGGAAATTTACTTTTCAAAAAAATAAGGTGTGGTATTAAAATAATGTGTGTTTTTTTTTTTTTAAAGCTTGTCAAATTGTAAGAAATAATAAAACTCTGTGGGCATACATGTAGCTGAGCCACTTAGTTGTAAAGTGTAGTTTATTTAAAAAGAAATGCTGATAAGGCCTCTTATCCCTGGCCCTTAAAGAAACAAAACTCTCATAAGACAGGAATGTTTTTCCTAGATTTAAAGGCAGGAAACTGGGTTAGCAGTATATAGTCAGTTCTCACAGCAAAGGGTTATTTCCAGTGAAGCATCCTGCCAGAGATCTGTACTCTTGCAAATATTCCCTCTCCTTTCCGGGTCACTTCTGAATACTGAGATGACCAATTTGAACCATAGTAGTCAAACTGGAAATTAATCCTGAATGTTTGAAAGGAATGGGGAAAGGTTGAGATGAGTGATAAAATGGCAAATCAAATAGTCTCCTTGTGTTTGCATATGGAAAAGGAGGGATCCCAGATCCTCATGTGCAAATTGGAAGCCCAACTGCTAAACAGCAAGGAGTATGTTAGAAGTTATTTGATAAAGAATATAAATCATAATCAGTAAATCATGATGTTGCGGTATAAACGCATTACTGCTGTATCTTAGATGCTTGGAATTGCCAATATTCCAAGAAATAAGTGTAACATGGAAAGACAACGAGGACGATGGGAGAGAAATAGGGAGAAGCAGGGAATACTAATGGCTTGAGAAAGGTATTAGGAGAGCCGGAAAGAGCGTTCCCATTAGTGATGGCTGTTACGCCCGGCACCAGGGGTTGTATCCCGCGTGTCTAAGCTGCTTATCTGCTGATAATGTAAACAAGGGACCGTACGTGTTCTTTCCCCATACTCTTTCCGCGAGGATTAATGCCCGAGACAGGATGTTGGACTCGGTGGACTTTTTATCTCATTGGTTGGAGTGTTTTGTTGACTTTGTGATGCTTCGCGGTGTTTACCCGCCTGCTTTTCTGGGTGGGTGATAAGCTCGGCCCTTATGGGGCGTTTGATTATTCCCATATTTCAGTATTCACCCTTCCATATGTGCAGGGAAGCACTTGCACGCCCAGGCTCCAGCTCTGCCAAGCAAAGAGGTGGTGCCTGCAGCCCCTTCTTAGTTCCTCGTTACCACCTTCGTATCGGCTGTTGCCACCTCCTCCTGTGTCTCCTTCCAGCCTCCTGTGAGAACTCTCCTTCCTCCGGACAGGAGGAGAAGTTTTGGGCTAAATAATGCATTTTTATTATGACTGAAGTGGGATTGCGAGCAATCACTAGCTGCCTTGCAGCATCTGCCTTTCTTCAGTTGTGTATTGTATATTGATGCTTAGTTGCGACTGTGGGAGGAAAAATAGCAGCACTGAACATTTAGGAGTCACCCAAAAATCAAGGTTAATAACTATATATAACTATATAAGCTGCTTTTCCCCTCATTGCTTGGTTTTCTTTCAGAAGTCTGTCATTTTGCTTGACTCTCAGCAGCATGGAGTGCTGTTGTCTACCAGAAATACCTGTTGTTTTGTTCTGAATCCTGTTGAACTCTTGACCACGCTTCTATCTTGAAGTGAGTCTTGCCCTATAATCTTTACCTCTTTAAATATTGATAGGAGGAGGAGTGGCACTGAAATATTTATGTAGGATCATCTTTTTCCGAATCTGGGTTTATGAAATATTGTAACCCCTTTGGGGCTATAAAAGCCTCGGGAGGAGATGACTCTATTGCTGCTAGTTATCTGAGAGCAGATCGGTGTTCTCTTGTTGTGGTTGGGTTTGAATGTTGAGGAAAACATTAGGATAATGCAGTTAATCTGAAGTTTAGTGTTAATCTTGTAACTAAGCTAATTTCTAAGTTATCTGTTAATTCTACTTTTGTTTTAAATCACCTGATAGTAATTTGAAGAACGATGACAAAGCTAGACTTAAAATTGATGCTTTTGCACTTTCCTGTGTCTTTTGTAAACGGTCCTGGTGTTTCTGGTGGGCGTTTGGGTAGCTGTTTGTACAGGGCATCTTCAATGTGCTGCGTGGCACATTTCTTTATGCACTCACTGCTTGTTGTTTGAGCAGCCGATGGCTCTGGCTGTTCACTATGTTAATGCAGTATCGAAATCTGTCTGTTTACTCAAGTAATGTATTCTAAAGCTTAATAGGCCTCTGTTGACTTGAAACGTAGTGATCTTAAACTTTCTAGCTCTAAAGCCTGTCCTTGAGCTTTCTTGACGGTCATTTTGGTTTTATAATTTCGTTTTCATGCAATTAAAAATTCCTTTGTGCTGTGTGAAAGATGCACAGAGCAGAAACTATGAATCTGATGAGTGCTGTCAAATGCACAAAGTAAAAGCATTTGGAAAAAAAAAAATCCCTGTAATCTGCTTAGCATTAAAGGTCACCTTGAGCTGGAATGCATCTTTCTGGTGTGTGTTTCTCCTCCCTGGGCCTTGACTGAATATAGAGCACAGATCAGGATCTCTGTCCTGAATCTGCATGCTCCTAGCCTGGGTATTTATATATTCATATATATGTGTATATTTTTAGGGGATTTTCTTATCCACACAGTTTGCAAATTTATACAACTGTATCAGATGCAGTGAAACCGTTAACCACGGGAGAGAACCTACTGACTGCTAAAATGGGAATTTATTGTGTGGTTTGATGTAAACTCTGCAAGCTGTCAGTGCATGAGATTATTTCTGTATTAAAAAGTCAATGATTATTTTTACCTTGTTGGAAAGGTAACTCATTCCTCAGGCTTAGTTTGTTTGTTGCTTTGCTTTCCAATTTCTGCGTCTACACAAGATTTTTAGATTTTTCTTTCATCTGTCCCGTTTAGCAGTTCTGATGCTTTAAATCTTGGACCTTAATATTACCTGTTTAAATAATGTGCATTTCCAGGAACTGGTCTTGAGCTGAGGAGAGCAAGTTGTTTTCAGAAGTCGTCCCTTCTAAAGAAAAATCATCCGTGAACTTCAGCCAAATTTCTCCCTTTAAAGATTGCTTTCCAGGCAGGAATAACTAGCGACCCAATTAACATACTTTTCTTTTTTTCCTTTCCAGGTCATGATTTTCGTTTTCTCGTGTCATTTTTTTGAAGAGAGGAAATGATCGTAGTGGAACTTGTTACAAGTCAGTCACTGATACGGAGCCTTTGTAGTTCAGAAACGTTCATAGAAGAACAAATATAACCCTTTTTCTGTTTTTGTTCTGGAGCCTGTGCTGTTAAAAAGGGAAATAAAAATGACGACTTCGTCTATCAGGCGGCAGATGAAGAACATTGTGAACAACTATTCCGAAGCCGAAATAAAAGTTCGGGAAGCGACCTCTAATGACCCTTGGGGTCCCTCCAGTTCGTTAATGACTGAAATAGCAGATCTGACTTACAATGTTGTGGCCTTTTCTGAAATTATGAGCATGATCTGGAAGCGGCTGAACGACCACGGCAAGAACTGGCGACACGTGTACAAGGCCCTTACTCTGTTAGATTACCTGATCAAAACAGGTTCTGAGAGAGTCGCTCAGCAGTGTAAAGAGAATATTTTTGCTATTCAGACATTGAAAGATTTTCAGTACATTGATCGAGACGGTAAGGACCAGGGCATCAATGTAAGGGAGAAATCCAAGCAGCTAGTGTCTCTGCTGAAGGATGACGAGCGACTCAAGACAGAGAGGGCTCAAGCCCTGAAGACCAAAGAACGGATGGCTCAGGTGGCCACTGGAGTGGGGAGCAATCAGATCACGTTTGGCCGCGGTTCCAGCCAGCCAAATTTATCCACGAGCTACTCGGAGCAAGAATATGGCAAGTCCGGAGGCTCCCCAGCCTCTTATCATGGCTGTAAGTACAAACTAAATAACCCAGAAAGAGGATTTTTCTTCTTTCCAGAGACAGCGTGTTCTGATTTGCTGTTAGAAGTGAGAGCAAATGGTGCCTTCTAGGGAGATGGATATTCAGACTGAGGGGCACTTTGCAATGGCTGAATCCCTGTAGATCTGCCCTGTCCTTTCAAATGGCTGTCCTTCAATGCTCATTTTGCAGATGATCCATGTGTTGATATAAATGAATTTTAAAGCAGCTCTTTACTGTCCATTCCAAAAGGAAGCAATGCCAGGCTGTTGCCTGAGTACATTCCCATGTCTGGGATGATTGGTCTTCAGTAGGGGGGTTCTTAACAGAGTTTCTTGTCTTTAATTTAGAAAGGAGTATTAGAAAATTTGTTTTGTTCTTTTGTTTTCCCTAGTACATAATCTTAGAAGAAGATAAAAAATAAGTCTATTCCCTTGATTATTTTTTAGCTAGTTTCTTTATGTTGCTGCTGTTTTATTTTAGGCAGAGTATTGACATTTAACTTTCCTGCTTGCTCAGCAGTTCTCACACCAGTAACACTTTGTCAGTGTTTAGTTTGAAATGATATTCACGCTATCAGCTCTGGTATGCAAATATCAGCCTTAAATACCATATTTCATACTTAATTAAAAAACAGAAAAAAAGAAGAATACAGTGATGTGGGAAGAATGCATTCTTTATACCACTGCTTGGGGGAACTCCCTGTCGTGCTAGGAAGAGGCCTGGTTTGGCACCAAATCCTCCTTAAAAGAAGTTACGATCTGATGAAAGCTGCTTTGGCTGAAATGTCAGCGGTTGTGGTCTAATTTTGAAGGAAAATCCCTTCTTTAAATGAATGCTTGTAGTGTGTGGAGAACTGTAACGGATCCCGTGTGCAGAACCGATGGAGCATCAGTTTGGAGAATCCTAAATTTGCCCTGCCCAGTATTCCAAAGCAATCTCAAATTGTCCCTTTACGAATGGTGTCATGGGGCATGTTGCTAAATCGATGTTTGTGGGACGTTATAAGGATTTTGGTGGCGTACTAGATGTCAGGAATGAAATGCAGAGAGTGCATATTGTCATTTGCTGCACGGCTTTGCTGCACAGCTCAGTTTGCAGGGTTGGTTCTCAAGTTTTTATCTTTGCTATCCTTCCCCAAAAGCAAACATCCAAAAGGCCCTAGAAACCCAAGGGTGTTGGTGGTGTTCACGGGTTACAGACTTCTCTGTACTTGATTATGTATCAGCAGAAACATAGATGGCAGTTAATTTTTACAGTGTGTTTCTTCTGAAGTTTTAATGTGTTTTCTTTATGCAGATGGTTTATTCAATATAGCAAAGCGAACCAGCATCTTACAAAACAGCAGCATTAAGCGAAATTGGAAATAATTGGAAAGCTTTATGTAGAGCTTTGCCCTTTATCTTCAGAAAGAAACTTGCTTCAAAATCCAGCAATTTAATTCGCTACATAAAGGCAGAGTTATTCTTATGCCTTTTAAATTGAGCAGAAAACATGGTTTTCATGTTTTAAACTGAGAGTGATTGTATCTGTCATGTTTTTGTTCTATCATGATACCTTTTTTGTTCTGAAAATATAGATTTAGTAAACTATATAGAAGGAATTAAGAAAAGAATTAATGGAAATAAAGTTGGAAAGGTGAAAGAGCCTTTATACGAACATAACTAAATGATGTTTCAGCTCACAATGTTTTGGTATTGAGCTAGTTTTTAATTTCGTGACCTGCTAGGCACAGTGGATGTGGATTCCAGTTTTTAAGAGCTTTTAGCTGGAAGATGTTGAATTAACAACACTGAATAGCCCTACTTTGGGGATCACTGTTGCTTGTACTTGTGCCCCAAATCATTCTTTTTTTAAAAAAGTAACATTAATTTTGATAGCCTATATAGTATGAGGAAAACCTAGGATTGAAAAGGGTCCTTGGGGTACTTTACCTTACTCCCTCACTGCTACAGCAAAATATACTGTGTGGATCCTGTCCTTACATAAAACACCCTCTAAAGGCGGTTTGATAAAGACATTTTTCCCTTCTCCTTGAAGATATTTTCATCTTATATCTACCAGTCCATTAGAAACCATGGAAAATAAAATGGTAAAGCAGTGGGAGATTTTAATGTTTTAATGTCCTTTCTACCAGAACTTTATCTTAATGACAGTGTTGACCCCAAGAATCTGTACTGTGAAGCTTATATAATTCGATAGGGGATAAATTATGGCATTGCTGCCTGTTGATGTTGACATTTGTTAAAATACAGTATGGTTTTGCTATCATAGGTTTGTATTTTATCAAAGAGAGAGCTCTGTAAAGCTAAAAACAAAGGAACCTTCCCTGCCAAGCTCAGTCTTGTCACCAGTCTGTTTATACTGGGGCTGGTTGGCTGCTGTCTAGTATTAAGGTTGAGCCAATTAATGTTCAGGTTAGGAGCTATTCCCTAAACATTCCATGACAAAATACATAGAAGTTCTTTGAATTCCTGCAATTCAAATAGGAATTCTTTGAGTTTGAATTATTTTGGAAAATGGTAAATTTTACAGGATCGCATGAAATCCGATGTCAGTGCTTTATTTAAGGGAGTGCTCTTGAGCAGGGCTCAAGCTGAACCTGCTGCGAGAGGAAGCAGCAGCAGGTCAGGATTTGCAGCCTCACCCCCAGCCTGGCTCTGAAGTGCCTGAGTCTTTTCTGTATGGTTCAAGTTAGTCACCTGCTTTGGGTAATTCAGGTGTCACGTTCCAAGGCTTATTTCATCAGCAGTGCCCGTGATCAGGTAAATGGGATGCTGGACTTACAGCATGGGAAAATTAGGGTGTGTTCTTTAAGCAGACACTTAATGAATAGCAGAATATGTGAATGCAGAGTAGCAGGGAGGTGGCTCTGCTGTGACATCGGAGCCACCAGCAGGACAGGAGTCCCTTCTCCACAGGCAGAGGGTACTCCCAGAGGCTGAGTACTGCTTGGGCATGGCCAGTAAAAATCAGGTTTACAGAAACCTTGATTTTTTGAAGAGGTTTTGGCATGCTATACCTAGCAGAGGCCCTACCTGTGTTGTTCCGGGTAGTGCCCATGTCCTGTCCTCTGGCGTCTGCTGCCCTGTGCTGGGGTCGCGTTGAGAAGCGCTCGCAGGGGAGACTGCCGGGTGCTTCCAAGTCCTCGTTTCATTTATCCCAACGTGGTGGAGTGTGGGACAGTGCGACATGACCTAATTCCCGAGGAGCACTTTGCCTGGATTTTGGCTACTTGGTTGGGAAAGCGGCTTCATTGCATATACGGCCTGTTTGATAAAAGATTGGCGAAGGATGGAGGGAAAAGGGCTTTTCTGGATCTGGCTCAATGCTGAGTCCGTCAGACTCGTATCCTGAAGATTTTGAGTGATTCTTTTTATTGGTGTGCTCTTTAAACTGAAATGATGAGTTTTAATATTCCCAATGATTGTTCACATTAACTGACTCATTATTTAAAAGCAGTTTTGCAATGTGTCAGCAAGTTGGTGTTCAATCATCTATTTCACTCTTTGGAGTGAGGCAAAGGAATTAAATTAACTTGGGTTTGACGTTATAGGAAATTCAGCATTCTCCTATTTTTATTATTCTGTTCTGCAGCTCTGCAGATCGGAATACATCTCTGGTATTCCTGCTAGGTCAGGAAATATGATTCAGAAATGAATCTTGACCATCTCTGTTGATAATTTCTGTAATTTGTCACAAGAGGTTGGTAGGTTCCTATATTGTCTGTCAGGTGTCACTTCCCTGGCAACTGGATTTAACCCTCTCATCATACTCCAGTTTGTGGCGCACGAAGCGAATGCCACGGGTGTGACCAGGCTTTTCCAGTTGCCATAAGTTATCCAAATATGTTTGTAAAAATGAGTGTAGGGACAATTTGAGGCAGAAAAAATACTGTTTAAAGCCTTAAGGATCTGTTTAGGGTCAAACGAATTTCCCCAGGGCCACGACTCCCTCCTGCAGTGGGACTGACCTTCATGCAGGAGGACCAGCAAGTCCCAGCTTGTCGCCTTCGTAGGTGCGATTGCTTCCATCCTTAAAGGATCCCTTTAATTCCCACTGTAAAGACAGACTCTAAAATCCCTAAAAGCAATTTGCACTTTCATTTCATAATTTGAAAGATTAGATTGGCTTTTTGGATGTATCCCATCTTTACTAGGTTTTCGTTTGAAGACCAACAACTGGAATCTCTTCTTGTTTTCCAGGTGGATTATTATCAGTTTCTTACCCTGAGGTTATTTTAATTCTCCAAGTCAGCCTTGTTTTTGTCCGTTTTCTTGTAGAATAACAAAATGACTCTATTTTCTGAGTGAAAGTGACTAAAAAGTGAATTCAGAAGATTGCTGCCTTCTGCAAGGGGCAAAGCTGAGCCTTATTTTCTGTGACAGTCAGTAGCACTGCTTGGAGTGATGATGTGGAGCAGCACTCAGAAAAATTCGGTTCCTACTTTTGAATGAAAAGACCAAGGCAAATTCCCTGCTAGCACTCACTTTTTCCTTAATTATTAATGTAAACAGTGACTCTGCTTTTTAGCTGAGAATTGAGTATGTGCCTTAAGTCATTAGCTTAAGCAAACCTTTGGGCATCTCCAGAGGGTTTTTAATGTAGCCAAAATATAGTAAATTGTCCGTAAATACGTATAAAAGACGTCATAGCCTCTAACAGAGGCAGATGGTGGAGCAGAATCCTGCTTTAGTGATTAACTGAGGTTGGAAATGATTTCCTTGCGCTCCGGCGAGTGTCTTGCAGCGCGGACGGGCCGGGGACGTTTGTGTGTCTCAAAGCCGCTACCCGCGCGGAGGAGCCGGGACCTCCAAATTCTCCAAGCAGCAACAAAGCAGGGCCTACCGGGTCAGAATTGATCTATTGAGGCCCATCTTACATAAACATCTGAGTTAACTGTCATGTGCTGGGGGATAAGAGATTCTTTGTGTGGCAGCAATACTGTTACTAAGGCAATAACCTCTGCGCTGGATCCTCGCGACCAAAATGCGAATACGAAACGTGGCCGATGGAGAGGGCCGGTTCTAGCAGCGAGGGCGTCGGGAAGGGAAGCTGCTGGGTGAAAAAACTGTCGGCATGCAACCAAGAACACTGTTCTGAATTTCCTCTGATCCTTTGGGGAAAAAGAGGCTGGCTACCATTTAACAGAGGTGGTTTTATAACCGCTTCTTGATATTTAATGCAAAATAGCAATGTTTTTACTGGCGTGTTTCTAACACGGGACGCGGCGAAGCGTCTCAAATGGGCAGTTTCTTTGCTGTCTTTGCAGAGTGAGTTCTGCAGCGCTGCTTAGAGTTAATAAAACCAAGGAGGATGAATTGCTGAAAAGCCTAAAAGTGAAAAGAAATAAACTGTACATGTGAGACCCCCTTATTATCCGGGCGCGGATTGTGGAGCCGCTGAATGCCGGGCTCTGTTGGGAGCAGTGAGGTAATGGTGCTCCGTGCCAGCGCGCCCGGCAGCTTCGGGATGCTCCGGGTGGGATGCGGCCCCGTGCGCATGCACTTGCTTAATGCAAAAACGCTGCTGAGGAGGGGAGTGCTGGGAGCAAGCAGCCCTTTGGGTGGAAACAGGAGAATAACGGAGGCGTTGACTTAATGAACCTGCGCCGTGTAATTTGTAGTCCCTCTACCATCAGCCTCCTCGCTGTCTACAACTATGTTGAAAGAGGTGACGAATTCTTGTATAACCATTAAGGGAATCACATCCCTGCCTGTCGTAGTCATAGCTGAAGAAGCAGGAGACCTAAAGGCCCTTTTTGCTCCCAGTTCAGCTGCCATTTGCTCTCGGGTGACCTGGTCGTGTCCCATCCACGTGCTTGTCAAGCCCTGCGTTGAGGCCATGTACAATTCTCACCTCTCTAATTCCCTCTGGAAGGCTGCTGCTTTGAGGTTATTCACATCAACTTTGCAGATCAGATTTGTTCATGGTCAATTTAAATCACTGCTTCTCGTCTCTTTATCTTAAAAGCACTTTCAAGCCTGTTATATTTAGCAGCCATAATCTGCTCGCTCTTCCTCTAGGAACAATAAAAATACAAAGTATTCCATGTTCTCGGAAGCAGCTTTGCATCCATGCTGTTTGGGAATCATCTCCCTTGAACTGGCATGAGCAGGTTGCATTTGGCATCTTAAAACGGAGACTAATGGCTTTGTAGCAGTGCTAATGTTAACGATAGTTGTATCAGGTTAGTGCCTGAAGGTATAGTGTGTTTTAGTAACATACAGAATTCTTTACATCCGTCACCTCCAGTCGATGTCCCCAGTTTGTAGAAGATACCAGTGCTAATGTTAACGATAGTTGTATCAGTTTAGTGCCTGAAGGTATCGTGTTTTAATAACATACAGAATTCTTTACATCTGTCACCTCCAGTCGATGCCCCCAGTTTGTAGAAGATACCGTTACTGAAGAAATCATTTCACTTTGTCAATGTCGTCCTATTTTTACTGTTCCCCATCAGTCGACTGTTTTAAAAATCTATTTTTTTTCCTCCAGTTTGACAATTTTCTTAGCATTATTTTATGCATTTTCCCATAACCTCCATTTTGCCTTTTTTTAGCAAGTGAACAAATGTTGCCTTTAACATCCTAACTGGCATCATAAAATGCTTTACTGAGATTAGTTCTCCTGCTTTGACAAAGGGATCAGAGACAGGTATCCGACTTTCTCTGTCATAGTCTATCTTTGGTAACCTCTTGCTGAGTTTTATTCCATTTTCTTTGTAATTCTTTATTCTTGTCTTTAAAGTGTCAACAAAGTCTGAATATTCTTAAGGCCGGACTCTCCCCTGCTGTCAGGCACCCTGTTCTGTGATGTCCCTTTTATTCCTCCTGCAGGTCTGTAAAGGTACAAATAGACTGGAGAGCCCATCAGTGATTTGTGAGGAAAAAAAGTACTAGTGAAGCAGATAAATTTAGATACTTCCTATGAAAAAAGAGGTTTTCAAATATTTGTATTGAGGTAGCAGCAGCGTCTTCGTAAATGTGAAGTAAGGAGCTGGCCTGGTTGGCTTGAAAGCTGCAGGACCAGCGTGAAAGAATCCGGTTTCTGATGATGGATCAATTTGGCCCTGCAAAAATGGGATGGGATGGGGGGAGATACTGAGCGCAGGGTGGAAAGGAGAGGACAGGGCTCCTTGCTGCCCCCCGCTTGCTGCTGCGTGGATGAGGAGTTCCCACAGTTTACACTGTCGTTTTGGCTGGGAATTCAGGTTAGACATAGAAGTGGGAAGGAGTTGGAGGGTTAAATAGTGACTGAAAATGTGTTTTCAAAATTACTGTTTGGCAATCTAATTCTTATATACCCAGCTGGACTATTTAAAAGGAAGATGATTTCTTTTGAGTTTGACATTCTGGCTGTAAAATATGAAATGATAATATGTATTTTGCAGAATTGTAATTTCCTTTCCAACAATTAAGTAGAAATTCCTATGCAAAAATGAGATAAAATGTCAATTTTATAGTCAATGTATAGTTATGTAGTATATTTAGTCAATGTGGTTGCTGTAGAATTATCTGAGAGCGCAGAGGAATCATTTAATTGCTGTGTAGGGGTAAACACGTGAGTTCTCCCATTGGATAGAAGTTTCTACTGCTGCTGCAGCAGTGAAGACACGAACACGAGATGACTTGTGTATTGAAAAATAATATGTTTTAACTGTCAACCGTAATTCTTGTTCTGAGGGGAGGCTGGGAAGCAGATTGTCAGATAGTTGGTAGCTAATAGAAGTCTTCACGCAAGATTAAAAAATAACCAACCAAAAGCCAAACAACCCCCCCCAAACTTATTTTTATATGGAAAATGATACTGTATTTTGTAAATTTTGAGTATGAATAGCTGGTTTGTTTGTCTCTGAGCACGCTTAGCAATTGAATGGGGGAGAGAAAGAACTATTCTTAAGACTATTATTTTACCGAAAAGTGGGTGGTTTCCAATTTTACCGTGACATTGGCTTGCTCCCAGCAAATCCTTGCATCAATGTTGGTACAAGTAAGACACTTCAACAAATATGGCTTGAATGATTAATCCTACAGGGGCAGTGACGTGTCCCTAAAGCTCTGATTTGCTGACACAGGCCTTCACTATAAGCTTGATGATTTTTGTCACTAAAAAAATGGTCACCATTAAAAAAAAAAAAGTGCCTTTTTTTTCCAGGAACACTTTTCATTTGAAGTAATTAAGCTGTCTTGCAGTTTTTGCCCTTCAAGTTTTTCTCATGCTTCTTGACCTCAGCAGAGAATTGAAGGTGTCCATCTGTTTGAACGAAGTTGAATTCTGCCAGCTCAGAGCGCTGGGGATGGGTCCTGGCCTCGGCGCCCAGCGCGCCCGTCCTTGCGTTGGCCATCGAGCGCCTTTGGGAACCAGAGAGGTAACAACCTGCCATAAAACACGCAGCGAAGAGGTCGTATTTGTTGTGTTTGTCTCCAACAGCTACATCCCCTCGGGTCTCCTCCGAGCTGGAGCAAGCACGGCCGCAGACGAGCGGGGAAGAGGAGCTGCAGCTGCAGCTTGCGCTGGCCATGAGCAGGGAAGTTGCAGAGCAGGTCAGTGCCGGGCTCCAGAGCATCCGTGTGTTCACACTGGAGGCCACAATCCTCTTTTTTTTTCAATGACATCTTGGCTTTGCTGCACGGGTAGTGCGGAAGAGGGTGGGCATTTTGGAAAACGATTTATCTTATTTTAAAATATCTTCTTCAAATTAACTCTGTGCCGTTAACCCAGTGCTGTTGAGGCTAGTGGAAGATGACAGTCATTTTGCAAGAAGACTTGGTTGTGTGGGAGGATGTTAATCATCACATTACTGAGGCTGGTTTCAGTTATGAAGAACCAAAAACATGACTAGTCCTGAAAGCCTTTATTAATGGGGCCAGCATAAAATAATCAAAATTCACTGATTTTTTTAGAAGGGAATTTTGGATTATCTGTTCATTTGGTTAGATTTTCTGGGACAGAAGGGTGATCTCACAAAATGCTAGAATATTTAAAGGATCTGATTTTAAACAATTTGGCTCCTAAACTATCACAATGCTTATATTAATGTGGTAATTCTTAGGGGGTTCCTTCTGAATTTGGAGTAAATGCTGTAATTCTGAGTAAAGTCTGCTGCATATTAATATGTAATGGGATTGATGAATCTCAGCTTTGTGTGAAAATTGAAGCCAACCACACTGGAGGTGTCTGCAGTATTGCAGAGGCTTCCTGTGAAAGCTGGAGCTTACAGATGTATGATGGACGTTAGTATCTCTGCGCTTGCAGAGGGAGACTGTAACCCAGTGAACTTTCTCATTATTTAGCAATGAAGTTTAAAAACAAAAACATAAATTATATCACTGGAAACGGGGAAATACCAGTTGGGGAATTTGTCAACTTCTGAAAGACGTGGTGCAAGCAAAAATACTTGAAATAGTCGGATCTACCACAAATGTGGTAGTTTAGAGATGTTGAAAAAACCTGTAAAATCTGCACGGAGTTGACTGGGTCATTCACTTTGGATCCAGGGTGGAGGGAAGCTGTAAGAAGTCAGGAAAACAAAAGTTGAAATTGCTACGTCCTTCAGTGGTGTTGTGAACGATCAAAAGTGCTATCATAATTTGAAACTGGGATATTCCCTGTGTTTTTAAATCGATGTTCCTGGCATTGTAACTTAATTTTTGGAAAGAATGCTTCATTTATAGCTTTTTTCATTGGGAATAGGCTCACGTGAGGGAAAATTGCAGTCAGCAAACTTGCCGCTGCCTTAGCGATCACACTGTGACATTGGTGGCACGGGGTCAGGCTGTTCCTGACCTCACACGTGGTTGAGCGAGGTGAGATTCCCGAGAAAACCACCTTCTCCCGTGGCGTTAGGCGCGAGTCGCAGCAGCCAGGCCTGGCAATCCCAGCGCCCTCCCCGGGTGGCAGGGAGTGCTGCCCAGGCCGGGACGGGCCACCTGGAGCAGCACAGTCTAGGCTCGTGGTCTATATCAACAGTGTTGATTTCCTTTGCAGGAGGAGCGCCTCAGACGCGGAGATGATCTGAGATTACAGATGGCTCTGGAGGAGAGTCGCAGAGACACAATTAAAATTCCCAAAAAGAAGGAGGTAGTGCCTTCAACTAAGAAATTCCCGGTTACGCTGCCAAAAGCTTGAAATACAGTAACACAAAATAGCTTAATACTGAGCTCGTTTATGCTTTTGGGATTGCTTTGTTGTATAGCTTAAAGCTTCTTCCATGTGGGTTAAATTTCAAACTACTAGTCAATGCAGGTGTGTAAAAGGAAAAAAAAAATGCTTCTTCATCTCTTGGGTTTGTACTTCAGATTGGTAATGCTCTTGATTAAAGCTCAGACTGTTCCTGCCCTCAGCATACAACCCTGTTGGACCTAATGGATGCCCTCCCCTCGTCGGCACCGGCATCGCAGAAAACAGAACCTTGGGGACCTCCTGCTGCTGCAAACCAAACTGATCCCTGGGGAGGGTCCACGGTTGCAGCTACTGCCTCCGACCCATGGCAATCATTTGGTAAGAGCAAACTCTGCCACAGGGGATGCTTATCTTCAGGTTTTGCTTTTTAATGTTGAGCTTTTTCAGTGCAGAGCATCCCATCAGTATGTTGGTCTATTTTGGTTGTTTTCTGTGTACCAGAAGTTACTTTCCCTTAGCTCAGTTTCAAGCAGAAATGGAAGGAAATTATGTTCTCTTTTGAGCAGTTGATTTGTGTGTGTGTATTTTGAATCTTAAGAAGGAGGAGAAAATAGAAGCTGGGGGCTTCTCTTTGTGCTGCAGAAACAACTTGTCTCATCCCAGATGGATGCTCATGGCTTGGCTGCAAGTTGGGTCCCGTGTCATGGACTGAGGTGGTTGTCAGTGCTTAATGTAGGACTCAAAGCGGGTGCTGTAATTCAGCAAGGCCGTAGCTTTGAACGCTGGGAAGGAAGGAGGTTGGATTGTTTAAATGGAGTTTTCCTCTGGCCAAGGAGTTACTCCTTTGCTAAGAGAGCTGGTGGCTCCACACAGTAGGTGTTGGACGTGCTTTGGGAATGGAGCTGGGTCTGGGTTTTGTGCTGTGTTTGTGGCAGGGGGAGGAGAGGGGAAGCAGAGGGGCTTCCTTGCACTTGTGAAGACTCACAGCCTAGTCTGTCAGGTTTGCTTGAGGCTGGTGTTTCTAGGACCTCAGCTGCATAGTTGTGTGCATTAGCAGTAAGTGCTCTACCCTCCAGATCCCTCATAAATATTTTGGAGTTTAATGCTGAAACTCTCTTTTGTTTTCTTTTTTTCTCTTCTCTCCCATGATGGCATTAAATGCACTTGCTTAGCTGCTGGGCCAGCCACTGTTCGTTGTTTAGGTGTAATCTGTATCTTTTCAGGTGATTAGCTGTCAAACCTTAGGTCAGGAAAAGACAGTTTCAGGCCTTTAGGACTGTTGGGTGTAACTTTCCATGTTTAAAAACAAGGGCAACAAAAAACCTCCTTCAAATCTGGTGCCTGATCTATCATCCATTGACTAGTGTTACCCTGAATCAGTTGCAGCTGTAGCACTTCCTCCGTGCCTCCCAACTTTATTAATGCCACTTATAACAACCCCTTGTTCCAGCTGGCCACTTACTTGGCTGCCAAGGATAGTCTTGAAGATGGGAGATTTATGAATTTGACTGCTAATAAAACAGTGAGCCACTAAATTGTGGCTCTTAAATCCTGTATGTGCTTTGGCATTGCAGCGTGGAGAATGGAAGCCCAGGGAAGGTGGCTTCCCAAACGCTCCAGTTCCGTGTGCTGTCTCATGAAAGAAAAGGCTTTTTGAAAGCTTCCATTTATGAGCAGCGCTGTCATTAGCATTTCTTGCGTGGCATCGATTGTAACTCGCCACTAAGGGCAGATAAAGGAAATCCTAAGTGCTGGACTGGGAATAGCTGGGCTTATTTGGAGGGTTTCAGCGTTTCCTGTTCTGAAGCTGCAGCGAGACCGTGCCACCTGGGATGGGAGTGAAAGACCAGCACTGCAAATTGGAATTTGTGCCAGCAGGAA